ACGAGTTTTTTTCTCTAAAGTAGTCTCCACTGACGAGTTTTTTTCTCTAAAGTCTCCACTGACGAGTTTTTTTCTCTAAAGTAGTCTCCACTGACGAGTTTTTTTCTCTAAAGTCTCCACTGACGAGTTTTTTTCTCTAAAGTAGTCTCCACTGACGAGTTTTTTTCTCAGTCATTCACCGAGGGCAAGGTACAGCAAGTGAAAAAATGCACTCCACATAACTATCAGAGTCCATCCACACCTTTACACTCTCTTATATAGGCCTATCTATTACCATGTGGGCCACCTGGCACCTTGAATTACGCAACTAAAGACAATTTTTGAGTGGCATCATGGTGAATTCAGGCGATTGTCACAATCATAACATCGAAAAAACCGACAGTTTTTCGCCCGTTGGGTGATTTTTATTCATTTTATTTCAGGCTGACCATCTTTCATGTCAATTTGTAAACTCATTTCTGAGAGGGTTTTCACTGTAAAAACATTAACCAAAGGCACAATATGTGTACATTTGCAGTTTCCAGGGACACCCAAGCTTTGAAAGTTAGAAAACTTTAACGGCCATGTTATCCCTATTCTAACCCCAGAAACCAGACAACACCCACCTCGTTCAATCGAAGACGTCTCCATTTCTATTCAAGATAGATGGATATTTTTTACAACTAAAGCAAGACAAATAAACAAGCTTTTAACATGATATCAATAACTTGAACTTCATGTGCCGAAAAGCTGACGAGCGCCTGATTTCACTGTGTTGTGAAACGTTTATAAATGACGTAGGGGGTCGTTAATTAGCCGTCAGCTGTCTCTGCTACCATTATGCTTATATATTGCCTTTTGTATAATTCATGACTCATTCAGGTTATTTGATACCACTTGAGAGAGATGTGTCTGCCCCCACCACCCACACTCCACCCCACTTCCGATTCCCCAGCAAGATTAATTTCATAAAAGTTCAATGTTCGAAGGAGGCACGTTCTCAATTGACTCTTCCAGATTTCGAAAATAGTCCATTTCTTGGGCTGAAAACTTGCCACGACATCATTAGACCATTTTCACACATCCTCTCAGAGAATCGGTTACTGTTCATAAAGCACAGAGACCAAGTCACTTCTAGGTAAATTGTCATTAATCAGTTAAATAGCCCCTCTTCATTTGTTATCTGGGAAATTATTATGAACAATTGATTTTTTTGCTTGTTTGCTTTTTGTGTGGGTT